ATTAGCTTGGTCTTTATTATTGTCATTCATTATCTAATAATTAAGCCATAAAATTCATTCGATACCAATAAAGGGATTTTGCAATTTTTATAGTGCTGTGGATTACTAACCTAAATTTTGTAATCCATGTTGTATTCATATACCTTGCAATCATTACATTTATTAATGCAGTCTCATTGCTTTCGCAAATCTTATCTTAATGAGATCCTAAATTGATTCTCAGCAAAATAGAGGTAACGCTTGTTTCCCTAAATCCACAGTTGTTTTGAACTGCAAGGCTGATAATACGTGGCACATTCAATCAAGACTACAATCAGACATAAACACGAGTCCGGAGTAACCCATATATCTCAATATCTTCGTGATGATACTAGGATAGACATGTTTAGCAGCATTCGCACCAACGGGTTTCACACCATTTTATCTCTACACACGGACGTGTTTCTACAAGAACTATTCTTGACTAAAAACGTGTTTGATTAAATGCATAAATACATGCGGAAATAAATCGTTCATATAACATGAAATAAAATGGAATGTACGTGTGTTATGACTTAAAAGAAATAAAAAAATTAAGTGCAATCTCTTATTTTATATTTGTTCAGGTTATATATAAGTCAAAGGTAATGATAGCAATTAAAATATTAATAAAATAACATTTTAGTAAATTTATAAATCTTTGAATTTTTTGTTCTGTGTTTCTTTGGATCCAATATCATAAAAATTTTCAGATCTTTATTGCTTTTAGTTTATATTGTTTATAATTAGAATTTTCATGCTTGAAAATTTCGGACGTCTTCAGTTCTTGAATCTAAGAATCTTAGAATCTTTAATATTCAATCTTCAATCTTTAATTCATTAAGGTTTTAGTTTATTAAATGCGCATGAGCTTTTAAGAATCTTAGGAATTTAATTTCTTTTAATCTTTTGTGTGCTAAAATAAAATTTAATAAGATGTAAATTTCTTGGACATTCTAAAAAATTTCTGAATATTTTAAAATCTTTCTAACAATAAGTTTTTCATTCCTTTCTACTCCTAAATTATAAAATTAGCGGTTTGTAATAATGTTGTATAAAATATTTGATTAATCGTTCTATGGTTTTATAATTTCATTCAGAGTTTCATAGTTTTATTTGAACTCCCTGAATTAATTCACATACTCTAAGCCTAAGCTATTCAGGTTTTTATATTTATGCATCCTCACAAATATTTAAATTCATGAGTATTCTAAAACCTTAACCCTTTGCGGTCACTAGGGGTCAGTATGACCCCATAAATTTTTCAAAACAGAATTACACTGACAATATTACACTTACTTTGCAATTTTTTGTTAATATTAAATAATTAACAAAATTAATATTGCGGCAGGTTTTGCAACGTTTCAAAAAGGTACGTTTTTCAAATCAAAATAATGAAAACTGTAAATACGGACGCCGATTAAAGTCGCTGGGGTTTGCGTTTTTTCGTTTTGACCCCGGTGTGACCATTATAAAACTATAGATAAGTGTGATAACCATAAAAGGTTAAACTTTTGCATTAGGTATTGAAAATCAGTCTTAAGTATAGATAGGGTGATAAAAGCAAGAGAATAGCTAGCGATAGTCAAGGATTTCATTTTGAATAAATAACGCTTCCAAAATATTGTATTAAAATTCCACACTTGATACTTGTCTTTGAAGATACACGCACGTCCAGGATATTATTTTTGTTAAGATCAGGCACCGCATTTTTGCTATTATTAAGTGAAAAGTAACAATCATTTGCAATAATTATTAATTATTGCATATGTGTATATGTATTTCACTCGTCTATCATAGAATCATACTTGACAAACAAGTTATTAGAAGATTCGCAAACTATGAATAATGTTTCAAGTACATAGAAGATATATTTACTCCTGATATATACACTGAAAAAAGGTTTTAGTTATAATAACCAAGGCTTGATGAAACAGCTTCAACTAAAGGGTTTAGTGATTATGACGAAATAATTTGGTTAATGTTAACAAATTTGGTTTGTTGCGCGTCACGCACGCACGCACGCCCAAGCGACACCGCACTTACCTCCGACAAATAGCGTCGTCTCGTTACCGGTCTCGTTACCATCGTGAACGCACGGCCAAAGATTTGCTGTTTTTCATAACACGCCGGGCGTTCATCCAAACGGCCGAACGAACGTTGGAGATTTTCTTGAACTGTCTCTCCGACGACGTCACCAACGAACACGTTTCTGGAACGAAACAAAAGTATTTTTTTCAGTATCCCGAACATCGTACGTTTGTCGCTACGCAGTACGACACGTTATATAACAACGAACAACGATGTTGTTGTCAATAGGTCGGAAAAAAAGAGAGCCTAACGTATAATAGGTACGCGACATGTTCCTCCGTTACGTGGACGTAACGTTGCCAAAATTACTACACCGCTGTTTACTGCGAAAAACAACGCGTACATTTGTACAGAAGTAACGCTCGCTTCGAACGAATATTTTAACTGTTGTTGTTTTCATCACCCGAAAAAAACAACCGCGACGAGCGTCTTCCAAGAAACGGGCACCGACGGGTAACATGGCGGCGGTCGCGCACGCTCGCGACGAAAACCGCGCAAACTTTTCGACGGCACGACGTCGACCGGACGCACGCCGTCGCGAGCACACGTACTTGCCGCGAACACGGCGGAAGCCGTACGTATTTTCTTACAAAAGAGGCGAAGCACGCGACTCGACAGCCTCCATGATATACTTGACGGTCGACATGTTTCGCGCGCGAACGCCGGCCTCGCTCGCAAGTCGGTCATTTAGGACGTTCACCGTCCGGCGCGAAACACGGCAACGAGAAAATGCAAGCTCCACAAGTATTGGGAATGGCTAAACTGTGATACGCTCTCTGGTGTCGAAAATCAGAACCCATAAGAGTAGGTCGCCGGCTGTCACATAAGTAAAGCGAATTGACAGTTAATTTTTCCATATGACAATTGTATAATACACTAATGTAATTACAATTAGTTATGGAGGCCGGAGTGAAATTTCCACCAAAAAGCTCGAAAAGCAAAATATGTTGCTCTGTTTTGCAATAGTAAAGCTCGAAATAACCCGGAATTAAGTTTTCACCACTTTCCTAAAGCCGGTGAAATAAAAGTCAATAAACTAAACAAATTTGGACAAAATGAACTTATTGACAGGAGAGTGTTGTGGGAGAGAATTTTAAAAATCGGCAGAAAAGTAACACCAAGTATGCGAGTTTGCTCACTTCATTTCATCAAAGATGACTACTATGTATTCACAAGACCAGGTAAATTGTCACTATTCTAGAAGCAACCTTTTATTATTTTTATAGTTTTCATTAGTAATTATTAAATTTTAACAGTATTTTATGCATATCACATTATAAATCTCAATCATTATTTAACCTCAAAATGTAATCAGCTATATTATATTTTATATGCAATAGTTTAAGTTTTTAAGTGAATTAATATATGTACATTTGACAAAAACAAAATTGTTATTTAGTTATATAATAATAATTAGTTAAAGAACTTAAACTTTTTAAAAATAATTTTTTTTTAAACTTTTTAAAAATAATTTTCTTTTTTTTTAGATTGTCCAGCTGAAGCAAGGTTTTTAAAAAAAACTAGTGTACCATCTGTTAATTGGCCTTTTCCAGCGTAGAGACTACTAATGTTTTAAATAATAAAATTACTGAAAGGCAAATTCGACTGGAAAATCGTCAGAAAAATATTAAATTAAATGCGAAGGAAAAAGACACCGAGTGCAATTGTTTTCTGACTGAAGAGGATAATATTGCTGTTCAGAATGATACACTCCTTGTTGAAGAAGTTAATATAGAAGAAAAATCCAGCGATGTTCCTTAGAAAAAAATTTTAATTGATGTTGAAATGCAAGTAAAAAGTGGAGATTTAATTGAAAATTGCTTTTTACATTTTTTAAAGACTGATAAAGAATTGAGCACTGCCACCGGGATTCAAAATTTTGAATTGTTTGATAGTATCGTAGCTGCTGTTAAAATAGCTGCACCATACTTAAACACTGGTGTATTAAGTATTCGTGAAAGAGTTTTAATGACTTTTATGAAACTGAAACAGAATTTAAGTTATTCGTTTCTATCTATTTTGTTCCCAACGATTAGTGTAAGATATTGTTCAGAGATTATTTGTAACATGTTGGATATTTTAAGTGAAATTTTAGAGCCATGTATTCACTTTCCATCAGGAGATGAAATCTTAAGGAATATGCCATTATGTTTTGCTAATTACTCTGATACTCGCATAATATTAGATTGCACCGAAATAGAAATACAAAGGCCAAAAAACTTATGTTGTCAAATAACAACTTACTCGACTTACAAAGGGAGATATACTATAAAATTTATGACTGGAGTAACACCAGGTGGTATAATATCTTTTGTCAGTAAAGCTTACGGAGGTAGAGCATCGGATAAAGCAATATTTGAACAGAGTCTTTTGTTGCAACGACTAGAGAAAGGTGTGTCGGTTATGGTAGACAAAGGTTTTCTGATAGATGAATTGTGTTGTGATTATGATGTGAAACTAATTAGACCGTCATTCCTTAAAGATAAGGTTCAATTTTCTGAAAATGACGCTGTAGAGAATGCAGATATTGCAAGTGCAAGAGTGCATGTTGAAAGACTCAACCAAAGACTAAAAGTATTTGAAATACTGGGCAGTAAAATGTCTTCATGCCTTGTACCAAAGAGCGAGAAGATCATAACTATTCTATGTGCAGTAGTAAATTTAAGTAGTCCCATTTTCAAGGATGATAAATTTCACTCTTAATTTTTTTTAATAAGACTTTTTACTATTTGTAAAAATAAATTATTGGTTTTTGTATTTAAAAAAAAGTTTATTTTATTTTAATCAATCAATTTATTCCGCAGAACCCTCCTTAATACAAACGTGATGCAACATTACATTGTAGTAAACATTTTTTAAAGATGTTAACATATTATTTGTAAATTCGTGATCAAATTCAACTGTTAGAATACGAAAACTATTGTCGATAGATGCATATATAATAAAGTCGGTTATTTCTACATTCAAGATTGCCATTCTAAGCTGAATCTGTGCAAAATAGTTGCTTTTTTTTTTAATGTTAAATTTTTATTTAAATAATTAAGAGATTGAACCACATTTGATATAGTTTTCGTTTTGCCAGCGAATGGACACTTAATTTCGATTAATTTGTTAGGTTTTCCATTCTCATCTAAAGTCACACCGTCTGGACTATATCCTAGCCAAGGATTTATTTCTGGTACAACTAGGCCTATTTCTTTAACTTTAACGCCAGTGTAATCTTCATAGGCAGTTCTTGCTGATGATTCATATTTAATGCCGTGCTTCATGGCCGCTGTTTTTTTAAACGCCTTTGGATAAAAATATTGCTGTGATTTTTGCTCCCAATTTGCTGTCTTATTTTTTGTATACGTGTAGAGGGCATAACATCTTGAACCTGTTACTCGAAACTGTCTTTCCTTTTTCCATAATACTTTACTTTTAAAAGTTTTTTCACAAACTGACTTAGTGTTTACTTTTAATGAATTTAACAATCTTGCACAACACTCTTTTTCTGGTTGATTTGGAGAAATTTTTGACAAATTCAACATTGAATTTGACGGTTGAACACTTAAGATAGCTTCTAGTTCACTATTATTTAATTCTAAATTATTATTATTCTCTTCTGAGATTGTAGGTTTATGTCTTCCAGATCTAATAAAATCATTAAAAAATAGTACATAATAATTGTATATAACAATAAATTTTAAAAATCTTGAAATTTTATGTACAAATCATTTGTAAAAATGTAATAAAGTGTATAAGAATCAATTGTAAATAATATTAACAATTGTATATAATATTTAAAAATTAATTGTAAAAATTCTGTTCACAATATCAAAGTTTTAGAAGCAAAAAAATCAATACTTATTAATTGATTCTTTAAGTAATAATTCACTTGGATAAATTTGTTTTAATTTGATTGATTAAAAGTTACTTTAAAAAAGATTTGATCAAAATTATCCATACATATGCTTGTATAAAGCTGAGTTCTGGTTGTTAGTAATAAGAAGCTTATTTATTTCTTTTCTTTGTTCTTCCGTTAACGTAGCAATGTATTCTTTCTTAAATTTTTTATTTAAACATTCGTGTTCACATAATGGGCTTGGCATATATTTTTCTATAGATTTTGCATGTGGCATTTCCCACAAGCATTTAGTATCAGTACAAGATACTAAATCCAAATCATTAACATTTATTCTGAAAAAAAAATTATCTTTGGTATGGGCAAAAATAATTGCAAAGAATTGGTTAAATAATGTCAATACTGTCATGCTACTTCAATTTTAAAACAGATACTGTAAACAAAAATATTCTTTACATCTAATATCTTTTACATATAACTTAAAATTAATTTAATATTTTTTTAAATTTACAATAAAGAAGCATAATTTATATCATAAATTAATTAATAAGGCT